CACTTGTCGGCCCGAACAGGTTAGGGGTCGAAGCGATTCGACCAGAGGTGGTATGCGCGCCAGTGCCTCACGGGTCGGCTGAGACCCATCTCGAAGTGGAGCTGAATGGATCTAACTCCGTGTAGGCACCGAGGGTCGGTCTGTTCGATCCCGATTCGAGGGCCCGTCGTCAAGCGTCTTTCTGGTCTTTTGCACCATAGATTGCTTGATAATTGAATCTGAAAACAATAAGAGTATAGTGTCAATATAGACATACACATCATGCATAACGAGTAAAGACCCACGATGACACGATCGACCCACGATCGACCCATGGCCGGCAGAACTTGCTCTCGGTCGATGCGTTCGACCCATGATGAGGGTCGTTACCGTTGACTATGGTCGACGCAAGTCCGACGTGTTCGACCCACGGTTGGCGGTCGACATGGCTGACCCATAATATGCGCGGCAGGCTCGCGCTATCGTTGGCCCATGATCGACTCACGGCCGACGTGTTCGACCAACTATGGATGCTCGAAGCACGGTCAACGTGTTCGACCCACGATGGGGTCGACCCATGGTTGGTGTGCCAGGCTCGTGGTCAACGCACAGTCGACAAGGACGGTTCGTGATCAGCAAGTTCGACCCACGATGGGATGGTCGAGACGATCGAGCCACACGGTCAGCATGTTCGACCCACAAGAGGTGATCGATACGTTCGACCGACCTACACCGCTGGCTTCCACTCAAGTCAACAAGGTCAACTCGAGGTGGGCGCGGTCAATCTGTGGTCGACAAGGTCGACCTGCGCCAAAAAGAAAACAAAAACAAAAGCTTCCACATAAGGAAGAACACATCACGAAAAATAAGAAACGAGGCCGAACCTCGAGGCGGTGAGGAAAAATTGACGGTCGTATAGGAGAGCCTGTAATTGGTCGGAGGTCGAGGAGTCGGGAAGAAGGGGAGTGAGCATAAGTAGTCCCGAAAAATTTGGCTGGTCCGCCGAAAGAAGATTTATCGGTTAAAAAAAATGAATGAAAGAAGAGAGATGTGGTCGAGTATCTTCGACCCACACGGGCTTAAGGCTGACACGATTGACCCACGCGGTCGATCACCAAACAAGAAAAAAAGAGAGAGGAATAAAGGGAGTTGTGGTCGACAAGCTTCGACCCACAGGGGTCGAGTACATGGTCGACCCACACGCAAAAAAAAAAGAAAAAAAAAAGAAAAAAAGAGAAGAGAGGAAAAGCAAAAGGGAGAAAGGCTCAACCAACAGAATATGCAACCTTGTTGTTCAATTGTAAGTGGACATATGCTTCCTAATCATTAAATGGGCTCAGCATAATTGCATGAAGATTAGATCATCACAAGGAGGTCGACTAATTACATATATGGTCGACCCAAGGATTTCTTTTTGGGGCAGGCGAGAATATTATCTCGTGGGTAGGATGGTTGGTGGAACCTTGGGAAAAGAAAATGCATGGGTCTAATAAAGCAATTGTATGAACTGTCCATCCAATTTTTTTATTTATTTTTTTTAAAAAAAAAGAGGTTTTGTGCAAATCAACTATTTGCATGATGTGGACGTCACATGGCACTAAGTTTGTATATAGTGGATTCAAAGGCACATGAAGGAAATATTATCTTGTTATATAACATGGTGGCGGTACATGAAATCGGAAGGATACGTAATTGACACAGAAGTTGATTGCGTCGAATTGGATGGCATATAATTGTCTAAAACCCCCGATAATGAAGCGCTCGAACATTGATATTTACGATTATGCGAACTTAGTTTCGTATGCTCGTAAATAGGGGGGAGTAATTGATATGAATATTGGTACCCATATATATTAGTACCCATATCGGCCTAACATGATAAACTCCCACGAAACCGGGGTAAAGCGAGCCAAGGGACGATCTTTGGGCCTAGCATCGACCGGCTTACACATGGGGCTCGATCCCTCGACCAATGTGGGGGCTCGACCCGCTGACCCCGTGTAGGGGCTCGACCCATCGACCCTCAACCCTCAACGTAACCACTCGACCCTAGTCCCTCAACATCGACCCTCGAGCACTAACTCTAGCATCGATCGACGAAGGTGCTCGACAGAGAGCATATTGTGGGGGCGTTTGTTACTCAGTAGTAGACGCGGTGAAATTTATGACCCCGAGAACAATTAACTGCTATATAAAGGGTAAATTCCCCAAGAGGAAGGTAAGACTTCATTAATACACTACTACAACATTTATTACACACAATTCTCTCAAAATCCGAGATCTTAACTTGGGCGTCGGAGGGCTTGCGCCGGAGAAATTCCGGCGCACTTTCAGGTACCGGAGAACACTCAAGCTCGGACTGGACTGAATCAAGTGAACCAACGTCATAACCGAGAAGAACCTTCCGCAAGACCGAAGCCACCGATCTCGGACCATATCAATAATATTTTTGATTATTTTTTTTATTCATGAATATAATAATAAGATTAAATAAACAACCTTAAAGTTAGTTCATTCCGTGCATTGCACAAGCCTTGCATCCATTAGGCCTTCACTAGTAATAATGTAATTGAGAATGCATAGAAATGAATAAAGTGGGTACATAAATAAAATAAATAAACTAACTGACTTGTATAAAAATAATAAATAATAATAACAAGATAAAATGAACTATTTTATCCGTAATTTTGTCCTCAGATATTTTATTTGTTATTAAATAATAACGAGTGGTGGTGCTGCCCTTCACCTTGAAATTTTTCATCTATCTACACCATCAAAATCAAAATATAAATTAAACAAAAATCTGTCGATAAATCATCTATAGAGTAGAACTGCGCGAAAACAGATCAATATAAAAATTTGTAAACCATTTCCGCCATGAGAGCTCTCCATGTTTCCACCTCTTACAGCCTCGCCTTCGGCGTTTCATACGGCGCTCGGCCACCGTCGCCTTGGCGCCGCCGCCGGCACCTCATTTCCGCCAAAGGTAATTCCAAGTTTAACTTTCTTATTCTGGATATTTCCCCCCAGTTTGGCATGAAAATTGACTCATAAGGGTTTGATTTGGCGCATTTTTAGCTGAACCTACTGAGAAATCGGTGGAGATAATGAGGAAATTCTCGGAGCAGTATGCACGCAAGTCCGACACGTATTTCTGTGTCGATAAAAGTGTCACCTCTGTTGTTATCAAGGTATTAATTCGTCCGATGCTCTGTTATTTTTTTATGAAACTAAAGGTAATTTGTGCTATTGATTCCACCCTAATCTGTTTGAAGCTGGGTTGGTAATTAATAATCAGTAGCACATTTTAACTTCTCACTGTGAAAGAATGTACGATTAGGTGTATAGATCCAGAATTTCAAATTGTTATTGAAAATTCGGTTGATATTATGCTAGGTTGGAGTTCATGGTTGGGGAAAGAATAAGATAAAAGGCATTCGTTCTAGTCTTGTTAAAGTCTCGACATCTACGATTACTCATTTTAGTGAGTTGTTTAAGAATGTTTGCTAGATGTGAACATGTGTATTGATGTAAGAATAAGCTGAAAGATCTTGAAACCTCCAATAATAATCTCTTGACGCCTGCTCATTTCTTATCGATGGTTGGAGATTATCTTTAAGCACGTGCTTCCTCGTGATATAGGGATTAGCAGAACACAAGGATTCATTAGGTGCACCACTCTGCCCTTGTAGGTATGAATTCACATTTTCCAAGTTTTGTTTCTAATGTCATATTCTGTACAGTTCAATGCTATAGATAAGCTTGTATAACTTGTTTCAGGCACTATGATGATAAAGCTGCTGAGGCACAACAGGGATTTTGGAACTGTCCCTGTGTTCCTATGAGAGAAAGGTAATATACCATTCTGAGGTTTATTGCCTGCTATCCATGTGTCAATGACTATCATGTCTTGCAAGTCGAAATATCATATGGCTTATGTTTAAGTTTTATTGATATACTAAAAGCTGCCAGGATATCATTTAGGAATGAACTACTAATACGGTGTTAATTTCCTAGAAATTTTGGTGGCAAGGATTGTTTAAATTCTTCAGTATAGAAATATGTGAACCTCTGAGGTGGTTGATCGTCAGTTGCATTAAGGATTTTGGTGTGCTTTATTTCATACTGTGATCATGAGTACAGCTGATCTTGAGGTTAAAACAAATCTCTCTTGGATGATGAGACCCATAAATTTAATTGGTTTCAGATTGCTAAATTGTCCTTAGTTTCTATACTGGCTTCTGCTTTGGTCATTGTGTTTCATATATCATATTTGTATTATTTCGTGGCAGAAAGGAGTGTCACTGCATGCTTTTCCTTACTCCTGAGAATGATTTTGCTGGCCAGGATCAGGTATGTAATGATATTTTCTTGTTTCTAGGAAAAGGCTATGAAAATCTTCAATCGCTCTCTAATGGAGTGGGAAGTATATTACACTTCGGCTTTTGACAATTTTAAGGCATCCTTATTCATTGAAATTAGTGGAGTGGCTAAACCAACACTTGAGGTTAAGCTTAACTGAATATAAGTAAGTAAATAAAATCCCGTTAGCAATTAATTTTCAAATATATCCCTTTATGTTATTACAAATAACCATGGAGAGCTTTATGTTTTGCTTTGCAAATTACCCTCAGTATGGACATTATCAAAACATGTGACCAGAGTTCTTCTTTTATTAAAAAAAGCTAATTAGAGTTTTTCTGAAGGAGAAATGTTAAAAAGTTATTAAGGTAAGTCTATTTTTTTTTTCCAACAACAATAAGACTTTATTAAAACTCAAATTAAACGTTTTACAATCGAGTCACCAAATGATGACAGCAACAATACAGAGGAGTCAGAATGCTCCCCTTCAATACAATAAGCAGTTTCAGTACATAATATTATGAATCACAAATAAAGTTGAAAGAGGAGAAAACAGGAATCAACTCCATGATATCATCAGCAATGGCTCTGTCAGTTACTAGAGGCATTGTCAGTTAGGGTGTGAAAAATATCCGAAGTTCTGATTATTCTATATTGCTTTCATATTTTGAGTTCCTTAATTCTGTGCAGACCATTTCGTTGGAAGAGATAAGAGAAACAACAGCAAACATGTGATACTTTTAGTATCAATATGCACTATTTTGATAAAACTCTATGTAAATGTGTATCATGACCAAGGAAATATAATGTTAGATGTCCAGCAGTACAACTTCAAGTGACACTACTTCATTCATTCTCTCAATTGGGTACCATAGATTACGTTCCTGTTAAGATTATTTTTTATTCATATAACCACTCAGTTCTTTATTATCTTAAAATCAAATTTAACCTAAGTTGCTGGATAATCATGCATTATCGATCTCCATCGTTTCATTAGAGTTTCACATAATTTTCAGTCCTCATCTCTACTCTAGTATAGAGTTTATTCTACTCTAAAGTAGAGCGAAATAAAAATCATGCTTGGTTCCCAACTGTCCGCGCTATATTTTACTCCACTTGTATTATTCATTTTATTTTATATTATTGAACATGCCAAAAGATTATTTAATTTGACATTATTTTATATAATAAATATTTTCACGATGTTAGTTGTCTACAACTAGTTTGAAATATTGTTCGATAAAGAATTATTATTTTGTATATTATTTGATTCATTTTATAGTAATTCAATATATATATATATATAGATATATATACTTTTTTAAAAACAATATTTTCATATAATTCTAAAATTAAATTATAAATTTATTGGTACAGACGTTGTCAAATAATAAATTTTAAGCTAAATCAAATACATAAAATATAAATCAATAAAGATAAATAAAAATTGTAGAATAACGAATAGTATTGTGCCGAATGTAGTGTGGTATCATCATAACTCTAAAGTACTGTAGATATGTAGCGTAATGTTGGACGGCAATTTTGTAAAAACCCTAACGTAAAATGCCAGAGTAACGAAGTCTTGGGGTTGCTCTAACTTATCATTGTTAGTGTCTGTTTGGTTACATTTTGGTATTGTGGTTGATAATATCTTAGCATGTTTGAATACTCTATCCATTTGACCAAATACATCACAATGAGTTGTTTGTTAAGACTTCAATAATTTATTAATTTGTCTATCTATAAGAAAATACGATTTTCTAACGTTTTCAAATCCGATCAAATCGGAGATGGTAAAACAGATTATTTTATTGAATTATTTTATTAACATCTGCAATAATTTTATCGATATCCATACAATAAACTATAAATTAATTTTTCGTGATTCATGTTGATATTTTGGTCAAGGTAAACATGAAAAGAAATTTTATGTTCTAATGTTATTATTCTTTTTTCGAAAAAATATTGACTTTTTCATCCTAAAATGTTTATAGAAAATCATATCATTTTGGGAATTTTTTTCCTTCTAATTTATCATAAGAAAATCAAGTTGGTGATTAATCTTTGTCAATATATATTTTTAATATGCTTTATTTAATTATATAAAAATAATAATTTTTCAAATTAAAATCATTCACCATTTAAGAGTTAATGACGAGATATATAGTTTTACTGATAAAATTAAAATATAGTAATATTTTTTTAAAATTCAACATGTGATTTATTTGTATATCATTGTCAAACATGATTATTTTTTTATCATTCTTTTATTTTGTTTTCTTTACAGAATGAAATAAGTGTAAATATATTTCCACTACTAGTATGCTAAATAAACTCTAATGCCTTAGATGCAAATTAGAAACATCTCTTGATTATAGATTTTTTTTTTTTTT